GTATATTGCCGTAGTCGTGTGTTTATTAGTCACGTTGAATCAATAAAAACTGTTGAATCTTCTGTTTATTCAGCTGCAGAGATAGGCATTTTCTGGGTTTCTTCTGCGAGGTGTATTTGGAGTTTCAGCGCGAGAGCGCCCTCTGGCCTTTGGATGGAGATTTACTGCTGATCACAGAACCGTGCTTCACTGAAAGATATGCATGACAATCGCTGCTTCATTTCGATTTATCGTGCAGCCCTAGTTACGGTGTTTTAATAATATAAATAGTATTAATTGCATTTCATCGCATCATGCCTCTACATTGTCCCAATTAAAAGTCGCCTTTTGCAAGAATTGTTACATTAATGTATGATATACGTATTTTGTTTACATTTGAGATGGTCAGCATCCTGTTGAGTCAACAAGAATTGCATTTTGGAATAATTGTGTAACAAAGCGAATCGTTAAGGAACCGTTAAGTCATTTCGAAGTGATTGACCAAATGGCTAACCAGACCAACACATTTCGAGACAAAAACATGTACTTACATGTGGGTCCATCTGTGGCATGTAATGAGGGTCTCGTAAACCATATTGCTCCATTTGGTCGAATCCAGGGTTCATCCTGTGGAAACCTGGCCCACCTTCAAACTCAGCCGGGTGGAAGCTCGCGGGTCTTCCCCTAAACTCAGGCGGACAGAAGTCTGGAGGTCTGTCACAAAACTCCGGAGAACGGAAACGCGGTCCATATTCAAGCTCTGGATGGTAAAAGCGCGGTGCTGGTGGTCTGTTCCCAAACTCTGGATGATGGAAACCTGGATCAGGTCCATCAAAACGCGGGCGAAATTCATGTCTGTCTGGAAAATCCATCGGGTGATAAGGCCCATCGTGCATCATGAATCCCGGCGCTTCGTGCATAAACCCTCGATCTCCTTCCATGTCGTCCATCATCATCATTCTGGGGGGCTGCGGTCCGAAGTCGCGATGGGGCGCAGGAAACCTCTGTCCAGGGGGGCCCATCCGGAAAACGGGAGCAGGACCGCGAGGTCTGGGTTGAGGAGGCGCTGGGGGCCGCATGCCTTGTTGTGGTCCAGGTCCTTGAGGTTGAGCTGCTCTCATTCCATTCTTGCGATTTTTCCCCATTTCCCAACAGCTTGCGCTTACTGGTTAGTAGCAAGTTGCTCAGTGAACAGCTAACGTTAGCAAACCGTGTCACGACCACGTTTGTTTGCGCACACAACCATGCAGATTTAGTACCGTTTACTTCACATCAACGCAAACAATGGCATAATAAAATTGTTGTAATACATTTGATTTGAGTTGTGAGCCACTCACTAGACGCAAACGAACGCTTAAAGGCAAAGGTCCACTGCACGAACTTACTCAAGCAAGAGCAACGCAAGCATTGAAGAGATCCAAATGGCCAGCGGATATGACGCAATAGATTCAAAATAAGAGTGCACAAAAAGAAGCTGGTGCCTGATTTGTATGTAATGTTATTTACAAACAAATAAGAAAGTAGCATAAAATATAAAGCAGACTCTAATGTAGACAATAATATTTTAGAGAAAATAGATATGATTATTCACTAATACACAATTCACTAAGTAACATGACAATAAAAAACATACATTTAAGCTTTTAATAAATATGAGGGCAGAGTGCCAGCTGCAATTAGAATGAATACAAAATACTTCTCCAAAATAAGTATTTTGGGCATAAAAGAAAATAATTGTAAGTCTATACGTACTTTAATATATATACCATGCTACTCAATGGTTAGTGTTGGTCTTTTTGGAATACTAACCATTGAGTAGCCACAATTATTTCATGACATACTTCCAATCAGTTTTTTTTTTTAAATAAATAAAATATGCTTTTAGCAATCAATCTCAAGTCTTCAATCAATCAATCAATCTTTACTTTATTTGTCTCTTAATGAGGGAAATTTGTTTTGGGCAATACAGGTAAAACTGCACAACAAAGTACCAACATCAATAATAACAATCACACAGTTGTGTCCCCTGAATTAGAGTCTAACAGCCTTGTAGCCAAAGGAACAAAAGAGTTTTTAATAACAGTTATATCTAGACACTGGAGTACGAAAATGTCGACCAGATGGAAGTAATTCAAATTCTTGCTGAAGCAAGAATTTGGATTCCTTATTAGCAATCCAATCCTTATTCCTTATAGGATTAAGGAGTATATGTAACTGTAATATCTTCATGCATAAGAGAGGAGACTGGTACGTTTAAACACGGAGTGAACTTTCATAATCTTACATTGTCTTACTTTTTCCCCTGAGAATTTAATGGCCTGATCTATTTGACAATAATTAATCTTGTGTAAGCTCAGCACAAACTGTATTGATTTCTTATTCAGTAACAACAAAGCTTGTGCGATAAAGCTTGTTCTGTTTTGAATCTGCAGGGCTACCGGTTCTCTCAGGTAGAGTTCGTTAAGAGCCACACCCTTCTAATTTGAGGCCAATATAAATCAAGATCAGGTGAGTGGTTTGATGTAGTTGTGGAGGTGAGCTGCTCTTAGAAAGATTACAGACTTTAGGTGATCAGGGTGGCGTGAAAGTGTCTTTTATAATTCCAAGGTTCTTAATTAGTTCCTGCTTGCTGTGATACTTGAGTAAAATGGTGAGATTACTGATGGTTATTTTCACTGTGTTATTAGTGCTGCCAATTTAGCACTTCCCTGCAGTTGACTTTTGTGTTTGTTTGTGGTTTGCCTCGGTCAAACCAGAGGGAGTGTATTTCCATACATATTGGTCAAGCAGGTATCCAGATGGGTAACTCCTGCTGGGAACTGTATTGTTTGGAGCACCGCTTCCAGCCAGATGGAACTATTGTTGCTGATGGCAGCTCTTTGACCGACTCCTCTTTTGGCACTTTCTTCAGTGAAACTGGTGCTGGGAAGTACGTTCCTCGTGCAGTGTTCATTGATCTAGAGCCGACAGTTGTTGGTAAGACTGAACCCCATTCAGGCTTCTTAATTATTAGAGAATCTTGTCCTTGTACTTCCAGTGTAGCTTTGTTCTTATTTCTTTTGTTTGACCTGCAGATGAGATCCGTAATGGACATTATCGACAACTGTACCACCCAGAGCAGCTCATCAGTGGCAAGGAGGACGCCGCCAATAATTATGCTCGTGGTCACTATACCATTGGCAAAGAGATCGTAGACTCTGTGCTCGACCGGATGCGCAAAATGGTGAGTTTACACTTTTAAAACGGTGGTCTCAAACTCAATTCCTGGAGGGCCACAGATCTGCAGAGTTTAGCTCAACTCTCACCTGCTTGTAAGTTCCTAGTAATCCTGAAGACCTTGATTGGCTGGATCAGGCGTGTTTGATTATGTTTGAAACAAAACTGTGCAGAGCTGTGGTCCTCCAGCAACTGAGTTTGAGAACACTGCTTTAAAATAAAGAAGTTCTTTATTGGCACTTACAGTTCAATGAAGAACCTTTTAATCCTGGGGTTCTCAACTCTGGCCCTCGAGATCCCCTTTCCTGCAGATTTTAGTTCCAACCCTAACCAAATACACCTGAACAAGTTAGGTCTTCAGGATCACTATAATGTTTTAGGCAGGGAAGTCTGATCAAGGTTTGAGCTAAATGCTGCAGGAATGTGGACCTTGAGGGCCAGAGTTGAAAACCTCTTCTAATCTTTTAACCTCCGTTGCGCAAAAGGCTCTTTTATAGTGGAAAAAAGGTTCTTTAGATCTATTCACATTTAAGAAAAAAATGGGTATTTTAAGAACTGTTCTTCAGGCGAACCCAAAATGGTTTTGTCCTTTCCTGCGAAAACACCCTTTTGGAAACTTTATTTTTAAGTGTTGTGACACTTTAGAGTCTTGAATTCCTGGTCACATCTGAATTCTCTCCCATTTCCCCTTGACTTCTCTTTAGGCGGACCAGTGCACTGGTCTGCAGGGGTTCCTGATCTTTCACAGCTTTGGTGGCGGAACAGGCTCTGGCTTCACATCTCTACTGATGGAGCGACTGTCTGTCGACTACGGTAAAAAGTCAAAGTTGGAATTCTCCGTATATCCTGCCCCACAAGTCAGCACTGCTGTGGTGGAGCCCTACAACTCTATCCTTACAACCCACACTACTCTGGAGCACTCCGACTGCTCCTTCATGGTGGATAACGAAGCCATCTTTGACATCTGCAAGCGAAACCTTGATATCGAGCGTCCCTCCTACACCAACCTGAACAGGCTCATCGCCCAGATCGTGTCCTCCATTACGGCGTCACTGCGCTTCGATGGAGCCCTAAATGTGGACCTTACGGAGTTCCAGACCAACCTAGTCCCATACCCACGCATCCACTTCCCGCTGGTCACCTACTCTCCCATAATTTCCGCCGAGAAGGCCTACCACGAGCAGCTCTCCGTCCCAGAGATCACCAATGCATGCTTTGAGCCGGCGAACCAGATGGTGAAGTGTGACCCTCGCCGTGGAAAATACATGGCCTGCTGTTTGCTGTACCGTGGTGATGTGGTTCCGAAAGATGTGAATGCTGCCATAGCCAACATCAAGACGCGCCGCTCCATCCAGTTCGTAGACTGGTGTCCCACGGGGTTCAAGGTTGGAATCAACTACCAGCCGCCCACCGTTGTCCCAGGAGGGGATCTGGCCAAGGTGCAGAGGGCCGTCTGCATGCTGAGTAACACCACTGCTATTGCAGAGGCGTGGGGCCGCCTGGACCACAAGTTTGACCTGATGTATGCAAAGAGGGCTTTTGTGCACTGGTACGTGGGTGAAGGGATGGAGGAAGGGGAGTTTTCGGAGGCGCGAGAGGACATGGCTGCTCTGGAGAAAGACTACGAGGAGGTTGGTGCCGATACCACTGAGGATGGTGGGGAGGATGAAGAGGAGTATTAAGTATGCAAAATGTTTGTACATTGAGTAAATAAACTTAAAAGCATCTGAACCCTTTTAGTTTGGTTCTTTGACTAGTTTTGCCTTCATTATCTTGATCGGATGTGGTTTAGTTGGGGTTTAGGGAGCTTAATTGAGCCACAGATTGGTGTGGGGTGTTTTCATGTCCAGTTAAAGGCCTATAAGTAACCGCCACATGCTAGTGGTTTCAACCGCTTCTTTGTGACGTGTGAACCAATCAAAAAAAAAATGGTTCTGATTCGTTTGCCTTAAGTTGCTGGAAGAGGGAGAGAGTTTTGTCATCTTTTAGGGTTTCTAAATTAGTAAGTCTAACTTGTGTTTTCTGTGGCTCTGCAGCTGAATGTGGTAATCTTAAATAAGTGGTCACATCTTGTAATATTTAAATGATTATTTTGGAGAAGGTGTAAAATGCTAATCAGAGCAAACCAACTATAGCCCATTATGTGGTATCGTTACGGTTTTAGGGTCCATCCTGAAACATTCAGTAGTTCCACAGATAAGAGTAGCTAAAAACAACCAAGTCTTTCAATCGTTTTCAGCCCATACTTGGTATGTGGAACGTTTTCATGTCCAGTTAAAGGCCTATAAGTAACTGCCACATGCTAGTGGTTTCAACCGCTTCAGACCGCTTCTTTGTGACGTGTGAACCAATCAAAAAAAAAATGGTTTAAAATACCATTATGTGGTATCGTTACGGTTTTAGGGTCCATCCTGAAACATTCAGTAGTTCCACAGATAAGAGTAGCTAAAAACAACCAAGTCTTTCAATCGTTTTCAGCCCATACTTGGTATGTGGAACTGCCACCGTAAACGCTTCATATTAAACGTTTAGATATTGCTGGGTGTACGCTGCTAGAAATTGTCTCTTTTTCTACTTGTTTGAAATGCACATTTCTTCAGGTCTTCATTGCCACAGTACACGGACTTCATATTATATTTGAGCTTTGTTGACTTTGGATGCAACTCTGAAGTAACGTTTCGTATTAAGTGTGCATAGTCTGGGATGTCCCCTTTAAGAATTAGTTATTCATGTTCTTTTCCCCTCTTAGTAGAATTGAGGTATCTAGGAATCTGTAAGGAATTTTTGCCTCAAATGCCAAAGTTAAAAAAAACAAACTACTAACCTTTCACCTAGTCTGCACGGAGTGTGGTGAATTCTCAATATAAAGCTATATATATATAATTTTTTTTTTTTTTGCCATTGCTTTTCAGTTGCCTTACAGAAGTCCTCATTATATACCCTAAATACAATAAAACAAATTCATAAGCAATGTAGTTAAGCCATTTATTTATTTTTTTCTCCTTTTGCAAATAATATTGGAATGGTGTACAAACATATCTACAGAGATCTTATAAATGGTTTGAAGTGTGATCTTAAGAGAGAATGTGAGAGGTGAGAATTACTCATTCGGAGTAACTCAAGTGGACAACAGAAAATGACTCCAATCAGACTACAACTCCAACAAACAATGCGACTGTGGACCATCAGCCCATTGTGAG